AGAACACTTCGCAGTGGGCAGGACTGCAAGTTCGCCTTCAGCTCACTGAGTGACGTCAGGGAGGCTGTCAGCACTGCGCACAGGCCGCAGGCGGGCGCTCCTTTGGCCCCCGGCCGGATGGTCCTACGTCCGGGAATCCTCCGGGTAAGAGACGGACGGTAACACACTGCCTATTCCAGGGACACTTAGGAGCACCAGGCAGCCGGGGGAAGAAGCAACATGATCATTACTGTGGTCACTTACTGACAAGTGCTCCATGCATGTGTGTTCCCGACACCCGACTTCACACGCTTGGGTCTGAGCCCCACGACCACACTGGGAGGCTGCAGCGCCCTCATTTGAAAGGTGAGGGGACTGAGGCACAGAGAGGCGGAGTCGCCTGTCCAAGGGCAAAAGGAAGAGGTGATTTAACCCAGACTCATATGTGCATCACACCCAGACTCCCATCGTCGGCGTTTAGAACCGAGGGGCAGGGGAGACGGCCACCGGGGTGCGAACGACCACGCGACACAGAAACTCCTCCTAGTTAGTTCAGGTATCCAAGCAGCGAAGGTGCAGATCACAGGACGAACATAGCTAAGGTCTTCAAAGGTGACAAAGGCCTAAAACGGAGTGTTGCAAAACCTCTACTTTGAAGTTTGTCGAGAAAGCATTTGTGATTCGGATGAGGAGTCTGGACAGTGTGACCCCGTGAGGGTGTCTACTGCCTGTAGGGAACACCCTCTAGAGCTGTGGGGTACCAGAGGCTCAGGAGAAGCTCTGTGGGGCTCGGCTGTGTGGGGGATCAGATGTGGGGTGCAGGCCCCGGGCACCCCCTTACTACCGTGGTCACGGCTGAGCACTAACCGGGCACACCTGCATCTCGGAAGCACTGAGGGATAAGAGATCCCTAATCTTAGACTGATCCCTAATCTTTACCTGTTTGACAGGAACCATTAGGAAACGCTTTAGCCAGGCTGGTTTGAGAAAATTTATACCACTAAAACTATATCTAAGACTGGTCGACACATCAGATTTTTGTTCTCCTACTAGTTTTAAAAGGAGGGAGCCAAGAACAGGGGAGCAAAATGACTGAGCTGCCGACGAGGGAGATGTCCCGGGCATTTCTAGGCACGGGGGACATCAGAAGGACACAGATGGCAGCAGCTAGGAGTAAGAGCAGCCTTAGGCAGCTACGAACCAAACCATCTGTGGGGAATGGTGTTTTGTAGTCACAGCATATGATTCACAGGAGACAAGGGTGGCGAACGGCAGACTCACTCCTGCATTATTGTCACAGTGACTCCCGGCCCTTCGGGCCCGTCGGTTTCTTTCTGTCTTCTTGAACCATTGTCCACAGAGTGTCGCAGAGGAGATCGTGCCCGCTCGCTCTCCTGGACGTGTTCTGCTCATGTGTGTTATGGCCTAGACAGCCAGCCAGACAGCCATGCCCTGCCGAAGGAGACGACTCTGCCCTCTCGTGGCAGACGTTGCTGGGTCCCAGCTTCTCCTGGGAAGACAGACGTTCTGGAAGGTATGTTACCTTTGCTCCCCGGGTCTGCTGAATCTACGCAGCTTCAAAATCAGAACTTCGTTTCACGGGAGGAAAATGCTGTGTTCCTGACGGGAGTTGCTGAGGGGCCGTTCAATATTTTACCAACAGCACCAGCTCCCTGCGTAAATGCGTGTGCAGTGTTTGGGGTGGGGGCTGTTTTGACAGGTGTCAGAAAAGGTTCTGTGACGATGGCTGTATTTCTGCGAGCGGGGGAAGGTGTTTAGTGTCCCGTTCACATCTGAGGGCTGGCAAGGCGGAGGCCTGGTGATTACGATCTCACTGGGGAACATTAACTACTTATTTTCTTCTCCTTAAAAGTGGTCGAGTAAAGGCACAAAAGCAGAGAGACGTGACTAAAACCCCACCCTGCATGGAAGTACCGGACAGCCCCCCGAGCCGGCCGCCCCCCTGCACCCGAGCGCCGGCTGCACGCCCCATCCGCCGGGCGGCAGGTGAGGCGGGCCTTCACTGAGGGACTGGCGGACTTGGTCTGCGTCACAGTTTGGCAAGTCACGTAGAATTATTCTAGGCATAAATTAAACCGCATAGAATTATTCTAGGCATAAAGCGGAATGCAGAATTATTGGGGGAACCGAGCGCTATTATTTCACCCCCCATACAAGACATAAGGCGCCCATTCTCTTTCTGGACAGATGGGTTTCGGCGGCGCCTCGGCTCAGAACAATCACGGCGGCCGCGGCGCCCTCTCCGCACTTGCGGGTTTAACCGACTTTTCTTTCCAGCCCTCGAAAAGCAGCGACTGGCATTCGCTGCAGCCCCGACCGAGGTGTGGAAAATCTGTCGCGGCTTCTCTGCCGCCTACTCTGACCACAATTATACGGTCCCTGTGCAGATTAGCCGCAAAGTCATTCTTCCTCCAGGAGTGACGAGAGTTTCCCAAATGAAAGGAGGTGGCTACTGTACCCTGGTGCCGTCTGCGCTGGCGAGGCGGGGGCGGGCGGGAGGGTGGAAGGCGTGCGGGGAGACATGCCTTCCGAAGAAGGGCGTAACAACGGGAAAAGTAGCTGTAACAGAGTGGCGACATGGCAAGAACAGTGAGCGGCATTGTCCCGGGCGGAGTAATCCTGTGACACACTGCTGTCACTCACCGCCGGCTCCCTGCCGCGCCCGCCAGACATCAAAGGCTGCCCCATGCCATCTTACATGCTCTTTATCCGCTAATCAGCCCATTCTTCCCCAAATAAAGCCTGTTAAGTCCCCGCTCGCACGGGCACTGTCATCCTGGTGCCCATCTGCTCGCGAGGGCCAGCAGAGCAGGAGGCGGCGGCTTGCCCTCTCCCTAGTGGCTTCTCAAGGTAGGGACAATGCTGGCTGCGAGTGGCCCTCCGACTGCCTCCCTGCCTCCCGCTCTGCTTTCCAGGACCGGAGAAGGGCTGAGGAGCTGCTATCTGGAGTAACACTTGCTAATGAAGTCCCAGTCACGAGGCAGGTCATCTGCAAACAGTAAGGTGTTAGGAGTGCACTTGTTTGAAGGGACAGCAATAAAAAAATCCGTGTTTCTTCACCGATAATTGCCCGGCAGGTAAAGTCCTATCTTCTCAAAAGAGATGGGGACAGGATGGCCAGGCTTCTGGATAACTGGGAGGCCACTCCCAGGCCTGACCGGAGGCCTCATGGTCTGGTCGCATACTGGAAACCGGAGTTAACAGGCACAGACACCAGCTCCCCCAAGTCCAAGGACAGGCACCGCAGCCTCAGTCCTGGCACAGCCACCGCTCCCGGGCAGGTCCGGGGCACTGGCAGAGGGCGGGTGGCGCGGTCTGGCTGCAGCCCACCCAGAACAGGCAGCGTGGCAGCAGGTGGCACTCTGCACCTCTGAACCGCCTGGAAGAAGCCAGGGCTGGTGCGTCTCGGGCTCCTCCGGGCAGCACGCGGGGGAACACCCGCCTCGCAGTCACTGGAGCACCGCCCCACGTGAGAGCTATTCATGTGAGGAAACGATCGAGAATCATAAACATTCCAAGATCGGAATCAGAATCGGGCAAGGCTTTATCCATTACAAAGATCCCTGTAGATGCCAGGCCCCCGGACAGCCAAGCTGGATGCTCTGGAACCACATCGCACCTGGCTTCCAGCTCTGTGTCCTAAGGCGCTTCACCCGAGTGATCTTCAAGGTTCAAAAGGCGCGCTGAGCTACAATAGCTAATTCTGACTCTGAAAACGACCTTCTGAACTCGCTGAACACGTAAATTTCCTTCTCCCTTTTGTAGCTGAGGAAACTGAGGATCGGAGAAGTGAAGCGACAACATGGCTCCAGGATTCACAGCTCACATCAGACTTTGAAGTCCAAGGGCCCGAATGCAAGACCAACGGTCATCTCCCCACACGGGGCGGCCCTTCTCCCTCTCTCATTCTACACCAGACCCTGGGCCCCGACAAGGCCGATGTAGTCAGCACTTGGTGAACGAGCGAGACAAGAACTGCGCTGGGACACGTGGAGGTGTGGCGCCGCCTACAGACTCACCACACGGATGTGGAGGACACGTGGATTTTGGCACTGGGATTAATGTGCGAAAAGGAGGACGTGCAACGAAAAGTCACTAACTATGCAGAGCACTCCGGGTTCAGTGCCCCACACACTTGCTCGATGCGTCCTTCCTGCCCACGTGCTGCGAAAGCGACAGTGGCCGTCGCGCCAAGACCCCCGCGAAAGCTGCTCGCGGGGCCTGCACTGGCCCGGTCCCTGCCAGGGGCGGGCCTGGTGCTGGAACACTGTCTCCGAGCGGATGAAGGAAGGCTCTGACACACTCTGCTGAGGAAATCATCTTGGGAACCCCAGAAAGTGCGAGATGGACTTGGAGCCCAGTGCCCGGCCCGCGGGCGACGCTCCTCGCGCTGACCCCCTCGCTGGGCTCCCCGGCCAGATCTGACCGTGTTGTTACAGGGAGGGGAAAGCTCACCGCGCTCAGCACTGAAGACACATGTCGGCCAGGGAGAGTGATGCGCGGGGCCGGGGGCCAGCCTGTGGGAGACTGAGCTGGGGCTCGGCAGACAGCCCCTCCCATGTCATCCGGAAACAGGATGCCACCGGCGTGAATTTCATGGGACACAGCATTAATCTTTGTACAAGTCCCAGAGCTTCCCAGGGTGACGCTCCTCCTGTGGCAAGTCCAGCGTTTACTCTACTGGTGGGCAGTGAAGACAACCCAACACAGCCTTGCTGCTCCGATGATCCCCACCACACCTGGACCCGACAGGGGACACCGCCGATTTTCTGCCGGAGCCTTATAAACATTGCACTCAGGTACTTTCCCTCTCGTTTCCTCTTATCACATTGAAAGGAATGACAGACACTGATGATCATTTGCCACAAAAATCGAAGACGGCAGTTGACACTGAACGCACGTGGCCGACCACATCATCTACTTCTGCGGATCTGAACAGAGCTCTCCACCCCCACCCGACTTTCAGCCATTTGTCACAGGACAAATTCAGCTCATCTTACCTTTTCGGGGCGGCTTTTTTCTTTTTTACGGCCGAGACGCTAAGATTCTGGGGCGCATCTCTTAGCCCGAAGCTCTTAGCCACGTGCCCAAGGTGCAGCAACCGAACGTGGAAGATGTGCTTCAGCTCTCGGGGGTAGGTGGTGTAGGCACGGATGAAGGACTGCAGGGCTGAAAGGGAAATGAGGGCGTGGGAGGCTGTCAGGACGGGGGAGTGCCCCACGCGCCCCGGCCCAGAGCCCGTCCTGTGCAGCTCACCCCGCCAGGTGACGACGGCACACGACCAGGCAGCGCAACATTCAGCAACAACCTCAATCTATACTTGCTTTTCTTTAATTCCTCAAAAAACAAACAAACCAACAAAAACCCCAGAGGCCCCAATTATCACCTGAATAAACACAATATAATTTCGCACTTTACTGTGTAGCTTGTAATAACCCTAGAGGACAAGGCCCTGTTTTCTTCATTAGCCTTGGGGCCTAGCACAGTACGGGGCACCGAGCAGGCACCTGGTAAATGCTCCCTGTGTAAGTGAATGACAGCGAGCGAGTGAGACGGAGACTTGAGCAGTGTAGGATGTCATTTTCGTATGAAAAATTAAATCATTAGATTAGGAAAAAATTTTATATTAGGAAAAAATTTCCTAATTAAAGTTTACTTTTGAATGATTGATGCATGCAAACATTACGCAATTCAAAGAGTTCGAAGGGCTTTGTGACTGTCCTCACGTTTGTTATGAATGAATGACATTCTTATAAATGCCACCTCCGCCACGAGCCCCGCCCCAGCCCAGAGGAATCACCTGTGCCAGCTCTTCGTGTACTCCTGGGAGCTTAAAACCAAATTCATTCTAAAGTACCCAGGATTGACGGATACGGTGCTTCCTACCCATTCAAAAAAAATGCGTGAGAGGAAATGAAGCAGAACTTTAGAAAGGAGAAAGAAAATTATTAAATTTCTAAAACAGTCCACGAAACCGTTCATCCTTTGAGGACTGCTAACAGTTTCAAGGCGTTTATTGAACATTCTATCTTGAGAGTTCCAGTCTATTTTAAACTTAAGAAAAAGGTCCCTGCTCTGAACCTGGATGCTGGCCACGTGGGTGGCTGTCGCCTGCCTTCCCTCGCATTCCCCGGGGAAAGATTCTCCCGAGGGCGGCTCCCCGTGAATCTCTTGCAATGACCATGAAAACGAGTGTCTGCCCTTTCCTCACGAACAGGGCGGAAGGGACGGCTCTGAAGAGTGTCCCCACACATCGCGGCCTGCTCCGCTTCCCGGCCCTGCTCTCCTGCCGCTGCAGGGGCTGATGGAAGGAGGCACTAAATGCCAGCCTCTCTCGCCCTCGCCCGTTGAGCCACTGGACTGGCAAGTTTGCCCACAGCTTACACGTAATACCCCAGCAGCACCTGGAGATCGGCGTTTATGAACAGTAATAAAAAGTGTCATTTTAGCAGCTCAGATCCTGGAAGGATCCTGGGAATCCATCAAAGCTCTATTTACTGAGCAAAGTGAACTTCTTTTCCCAATCGATGAGAAATAATAACCGAGGCAACTCCCCCACACCCCCTTACATCTGTGCTCGCTCTCCTTTTTAATAACTGGGGACTAGCTGCTTTTGCAAGGAAAATCTGTAGCACTCCAAGTGGTCTGTCCTGACGCCAGGCTCCCAGACAGCCAGCCGCACACGGTCGAGCCCTCGGAGGGAAGCCCCGTATCTACCACGGCCCGGGGGACCCAGGCCTCTCCTCCTCTGCTCCCTTTCCTTCCCCAGTCAGAAACCACGCCAGGCCAAGCCAAACGAACGAAAGAATTTGCACTTTTAAAATCTATTACCCAAAGGCTGGCTCAGGCCTCCTCATTCACCCCTCTCCTCTGCTGGGGCAGACCAGCCCCTCGCTTCAGCCTCATCTCCACACTGCCCCTAAGACCCAAGGATGGAGAGCCTCTGTCCCTGGGGACGCAGCTGCCCAGCGCCCAGCTTTACAGGGATCATGAGTTTGCCAAGAACGGGCGAGGTGTTTTCTCCCTCGATGACTGGTCGGGCAGCATTTTGCGCTGCGTATTTTTACTAAACCTGCTTGTCCTCAAGGGTCCCGTGTCACAGGGGATGGCGACCTTGGTCGTCCCCGTACCCTCCCATGGACACCCACGTTTGGGTGATGCAGAGAAGCAGGAATTTCAGATGCGGCAGCAGCTGTCTGCAGGACCTTCCGAGGGGCAGAAGTGGCTCGTGCTGGCAGTGTCAGGAACGTGCAGAAGGAACAGGGGCCGAGGGGCCAAGACAAGCGGAAAGCGGAGAAGCAACGAAAGCGGACGCTTATTTGGGGCGACGGGCGGAGCTGCGGCCAGTTCGAGGGAGCGCGCCGCAGCCGCTCGTGTCTATTTCCGAGCCAGAAGGTAGATGAATGAAGGGAAATCTATTTTTAATTAGATTTAAAATTAAAGTCAAATTTATTCTTGGGCATCTGAGCGGGAATAGCGGCACCCTACGGACAGTGCTTAGGATCGAGGAGGGAGAAAGAACTCCAGCACCAAAGGGGCAGACACCCCTGCTCGTCCCAGCCCCGCCCGCCCCCGAAGAGCCACGTCTGTCCAGAGTAAAGGGACATGCGTCCTCCAACCTGACACGTCTCGACAGTGACAACTACCCGAAGGAAGTGGGACAGGAGGTGGCTCGTTATCATTCTCTCAGAGACAAAGCGTTGGGCCCAGGGCCCGGCCTGTCTTTCGTCGCACTGAGGGCAGAGGGCTGACTTGTCACCAGTGGTCTGGGCTTTCTCGACTCTGAGAAGCATCCTTTCCAAGCCAGGCATAGCTCCCTCCCACGCGTGTAGCCCCGGCTCTTTGGGGGGATGTGATGTGGACAGGCGCAAACCTCAGGAGAGGTCTTTGCAGGTGAAAGACCCCACTTTCTAAAATTTTTGTTCAAAGCTGTGTTACCACGATTTTTTACCACTTGAATCTCTGGCAAGAAATGAGAGAAGAAAGGAGAAGCAGCTCCTGGAAACTGACAACAATTAAGCGATGGTCATCGACAACGACGGGGTCAGAAAACGCTAAAGAAAAACAAACGCACGCTTGGCCCAGTTTCCGACTAGTTTTCTGCCATAAAGGCAAAAACCAGCTGCTCTGTTAATTATTCATGAGGTGGGTTCTGAACTGGCATAAAAGGGAGGCAAGTCAGTAGTGGAAGATTTGCATATGCGAAAGCTGAAACGCAAAAGATACGATCCGCTTATGGGGTGGAGTCGCTGTCCCAAAGTTGTTTATAGTGACAACTGTGTGTATGTTCCCCCCAAGGCCCCCAGAACATGCAATCCTAAGAAACAGGAGAGAAATGAAGAGTTAAAGAACTGACGTCTACAGTGGGTGGCTGAGAACCACCACGGGCGGTTGGTCCCCGGCCACCATCGATCTGGCGTGGACATCGGCGAGCAGTTAAGAACAAGGGTACATCATTTCCTTCTCGGCGTGAGGCTGTTCGGAGTGGCCCCGCTCCAACCTTTAAAAAGAGGACAAGCGCCTCTGCTTGTTTCTCTATTACCAAGTTCAGTGATGAGGATGAGAGAAAGCACCAAACCACATCCTCGAAGGAGGAGCTACTGTCAGCAGCAACCAGAATGTCTGAAATACTGCTGCACCGAAGCCAAGACGATGGCGCGGCTCTGATTTATTCTTTTTCGTGGCAACTTTGTTATTAATCCTGCGATCCCGCAGCACGGCACCTAGTTACGCACCGCGTCGCGCCGCAAGCTGAGTCTGCCTAACTCTCAACAAATGACCGAACCCTGCAAAGCTGTGCTGTGACAAATATTCTATTCCTCTTGGGAGACGTGTTCCAGCACTTTCGAAAGGTAGGTGCTGAGGAAAACCCTTAGGAACTGCTGAGTTCACCTTAGGGAAGCACTAGGATTTCATTTAGACTATCGCCGACCCCTGTCCAGAAGGGCACACGCTCATCACGCGCTGGCGGTTACGGGGCAAGTGCTGGGGCTTCTCTTTCACCTCGGACAGTTCCTTCCGACTTGTCCCTGTGTGTGGCAACAACCAAGGACTGCCTTCGCAGAGGGCCACAGTGCACGACAGGCACGGAGACATACTGGCTGACGACCCGTGTTTACTGTCTAGTTCCCGATGACCACGATGGCCCCGTCGCCATCACCAGCCCCCTGGCCTGCACCCTTGCCCCGTGTCCGTTCTCATACAGCAGCTGGTGACCTTTTCAAGCCTCTGTCAGACCACTCGTCTCCGCTCCAAGCCCGTCCATGGCTCCCCTTTCGCTCAGGGTAACCTGTCTCGACAGGCTCCGCGAGGCCATCCGACGTGACCCGCCTCTGCCGAGCCCCCGCTTCCCGCACGCTGCCTTCCGCGTCCTGTTCCCACTTCCTGGAGGGCCCTCTGCCGCAGCCATGTGCCTGATCCCTCTGTGGGCTTTTGCTCAAGTGTCACCTTCACAACAGGGCCCCCCCGACCCTCTATATAAAATGCTCTCCTCCCTGTCACCCACTGCATCTCCCTACCCCGCCCTATTTTTTTAGTTCTGATCACTGTGAACAGACTAATTTATATACAATTTATTTATCATTTGTTATGCTCACTGTCTGCCCCTCAAATCAGAATGTTAGAAACGTGAAGATTTTTATCTGTTTGACCTCTGATGTATCCCAGGCACCCAGAATAATGTCCAATTCAATATATTATTTGTTAAATGATCTAAAAAAAATTTCAAATCGTAAAAAAAAGATGCTATAGCGTTCAGACACAGTACACCCTTATTTAACGCTGGGGAGAAGTTCTGCGACTTTAAGCAAAGCCACACACAACGAAAACAGTTTTAGCATGGCCTGATCCAGACAAGAGCTAAGTTCCTGTGGCTTCTCGACGTTGTGAAATGATGTGGGACGCAGTGACCCTCTCTGAGGACCTGCTGTGTTGCTGAGCCGGCCAGCCACTCGTCTCAGAGCAGCAGGCAACTCCCAGCAAGGACTGTGGGCCTCCTGACATGTCTGAAGTCTCATGAGCACGCACGACACTGTCCCCAGTGGAGACACACTGTGCTCCGATGTAAACTCGCCCCACCCTCCACGCCCTGCACCTAGTGCTTGGTCATCCCAGGAGACAACTTACCCTGTAAAGGGTCTGGACACTAAGTTGACACCTAAGCCTCTCCTAAAGGTCCTAGGGCCTGGGTGCAGGGTCTACGCCCCGCCTCAGCACGGTTCCTCCTCGTTTTCCTCTGTGCCGCCGGCCAGGAGACCTGCTCGGGTCCATTATCCCCAGCCCTCACCCATCTCTGATTCTCTCTCTACACTACGTCCGCTGACGTGCCCATCTCTATCTAGTTTTCGAAAAAAGGGAAAAATGGTCCCTAAGTTCCATGTTGCCGGGTCACAGCCCTAGTCCTGACTTAAGCCCAGATAAAGCCTCATTTGTGCAAAACATGGGGAAGGATGAAATTAACATTTAACATCGCTTTAAAGCCTTCCGCGCCTGCCTCCAAACCCTGCAGAATTAGGGAGATCGAAGGCTTTTGCTGGTGAGTGGAGACCCCTGGTTGGCCTGTCCACCCGTCTGGGGTGTGTGGGTGGTGGCCGGGATGACACTCCCTGCTGGACCACCCGTCCACAGTCACCTAAGAAACTGACCGACCTTTCTTTGCCCAGGAGACCGTCTGCTCACTGGAGTGCACGTAATCTTCAAACACCGTCTGCAAGACCGTGGCTCGCTCTCGGATCCCCTGGGGGCTCAAGGCACGGGGTTTCTGGGAGGGTGACGGAAGGATTAAAGGAGAGACAGAGTCAGAGTCAGGAATAATGAAGCAGTTTATCACAGATTTAATAACAGTAAAACCACACAGTAACCACCCAGGGGCCAGCGAGGGTAATCCCTTCAATATTACCGGGGAAAAAGGGAGCGATAAAGATGCTCGAGCCAAGCAGAGAGGATAGGATGGCTTTGTGAGGGAGCAGATCAGGTCTGTTTATCCGCTTATTTACTTACTCTTCCTCCTGGCCTCTTCTCACTCACGTACAAAATCAAAGTTCATTAGAGACACTTAGGAATTTTCCAAGTCCGTTCAGAACATTATTGGACCTACTGTTCAGATGCATCCTGTGTCTCCTATGTAGGCCTGGAACCTTCTCCCTTCCCTGACACTCGCGATGGGACACTGGCAGTTACTGTTTAAGAGCATCCCCTGGTGACCTGCCTAAAATCCAGCCCAGCCTTGAACTTCAGAGCATGCTTCCTCATTCGCAGGGAGGTTCGGACTTTCAGTTTCGGATTCCTCCTCTCGGCCCAGAATCCCTGTGCTGAGTTCGCAAGGCCCTAGTAGAAGCTGGCTGTTCCAGCAATACACATTTGGGAAGACTGCCTGGGCCCTCCCCAGCAAACCGTCCCGCTGTGAGAAGTGACATTTGTATGCACGAAGGACCCTGAGGATGGGAAACGTTAATAAAAAATGACTTCCTTTCCATCCTGTAACCATCTCAGAGACTTCTTTTCTTTACATCCCGCTAAAAACGAGTGATTTTGTTTCCTGGATTTAATGGAACGTGACTGCTTTCTAGTGAATGTGTAACTGACATGCAAAAGACACAGATTCTCCAACCCAACTTGGCTAATATGTCGACTCTTTGAATGGGTGCTCTGAAGCTTTTGCCCACCCACTCCCCCAAAACCCCAAGTAGGTCCCCAGGGGGAACAAAAACAACAGTGAGGCCCAGTCCATGCGCCTTTCACCCCCGCAGAGGACGGGGTGCGTGCTTGTGTCTGGCGGAGCGTGTCGGCCCAGACACGGAGTCGACCTGCCCGAGAGACAAAGCGGGGGAGAAGCAAACGGTCGACATTCATCTCTGTATTAATAGAGACTTAACAAGCTGAGGATGTTTTTAGTTTAGTCAAATCACTCCTGCTACCTGCTTGGCTGATGACAGTCTGGCTGATTTCACAGTACACGGTCCCCCTCAGGGTCTGAGCCACTCAAATGTCAAGAGAAAAGTCACCAGGAGCTGAGTTACGAAAGTGGACATTTGCTGTTGTCATTAACAAGGATTTTTTTAGCCTCTTAACTGCTGCGAAATGCAAACTTTTTTTTTGCTGCCCTCCTTTCGTTAAGCCACCTCAGCGGCACAACTGTCACCTTTCCTGGAGGTTTTTTTTTTTTAATATGAATGTGAAATTAGCGAGGATGCCCTTTCCCCTGGCGGACAGAATCCTCTGTTATTAAAAAGTAAAGCACTTTAATAATGAAAACTTTTTCCTCTTTTTCCCATGTTTTAACTGTTTAAAATTAATGAGAAGGGCAGAATGGTTGTCAAAGCGATATTGAAAGCGGGCAGCCAGGACCGAATAAGCACAAAAATCCCTCTAGAGTGTTAAATAAACAGAGCTCCAGCCCTCTCGAATCCCTCTGTTGGTTATTGTATACATTCTGTAACAGCTCTCAGAATAGATCTGAGAGCCAGGGAGGCAGAGAGGTTTCAGAATTCCAATAAAGGCCTCAAATTAAAGACAGCCTGGTGCGAATTCCAGGAGAAAATTAAAGAGACCTCAAGCTTAAGTGACAGGTGACTTGCTTCTGTGTCACAACTGTCAGGGGATTTAGTGATAATATGGCAATATATTACAAAGGGCTTTTCTTATTCCCCCCTTTAGGTTTCAAAATGAGGCATCTTTTCTTCCCAGCCAAAAAAAAAAAAAATTACATATACACACATACATATAAAATGTGAGTGTGTATACAAGCGAAATATGTAGAAAAAGGTGTTAAAACTAGGTTCGCGTGTCTGCAATGATGAGGTCAGTTTTAGTAAAAATATGAGAAAAAGTTAATGACAGAAAACATAGGAAAAAGCGTGTCTTAGTCTCCCCACTCCCGCTTCCCGAAACTCTTTATTTTAAAATTGCCCCTCTTGAGAGCGAATGAGGAATTTTTCAGTTGTCTTCAGAGGACAGTCTAAATTTAAACTGAAGACAGAGGGGGCAGAGTTACACGGCACCAGCTCAGCCCCAGACAGGTAAACTGCTCCCATAATGAGGGGGTCAAGGCCCGGAGGGCACGCCAACCCCCTGCAGGACTGGCTCGCACCCCTCAAAGACACGGAGATTCAGCACTGGTTAATGAAGCCAGCTTGGAACCAGAGGGCCACGGGCAGTGAGAAAAATACATTTCATCAGTCTGTGCAGTCAACATCCTTTGTCTCTAAGACCCTACTGATCTTAGATCACAAAGAACTAAGCTAGGGGCTAGTGATCTCATTTTAATTTTAATGTTTCGCAATGCCGGTGACGGTTTTTTGTTAGGATAAGTTTCCTGGCATATTTTAAGGACAAAAGAATTGACAGGAAAAACATGTCTGGGTGTGTGTGTACCCCGAAGATAAAAATTTCACACCTATCAAGTAGCAGCAGATGAGTTTAAGGTAACTACCCCGGATTTTGTTGTCAAGTTTTAAGCAGTAGCAGTGATGGGGGAGAAAGGCTTTTTTTGGGGGGGGCGGGGACGAAGCACGTGTCTTGGTATCGCTAACTTCTAAGGTATTTTAAAACTAAATGAAAAGATTTCGTTTTAATCACTTTGTTGCCAAGCTGAGTTTCACTCCCACAGTCCCTAGAACCTTCTGAGCGCTTTCCAGTAAAAGTTGAAAGATCAAATTTATTCTCTTTGTAGGTGGGTGAACATTCACACACCCAGGCGTAGCTATGTATATTTTATATACCTAAATATGAAATATACATTTTACAGATGCTTCACTAGCTTGCTTTCTGTTCACAGAAACCCAAAAACGTATGTGCCAAAGGGACATTTACGGTGGACTTTCACCAAGCTGGCTGAGGAGGGACAGCATAATGAGCTGTCTGGCGGTACGTGTGAAAGGCCTCCCCACTCCGCCCACACTTGGTGCCTGCGTTAGAGAGCTGCCCAAATTGGGGACAGCGAATCACACTGCACTCCGTGTGGGACACAGAACTGAAGACTGTAGCCAGTGTCTACTTCACGCCTTCCACTATCCACGTGGGGCACGCACAGAAAGCGACTTCCCGGGCTGTATAATTACATGTCGATTTAGTTTAGGTTTTCTTTGTCCTCTGAGTTAAAGTTAAGTCTGGTCTGAGTCAGGTTTTCATCACCGTGACGTGTAGAACCTACTGTGATTAATTTAGCTTTCTAAGTTATCCAGATGTTTCGGAGTCAGTGAAAGCCCGCCCTTGATTAGCGTTTTTTCTTTTTTAAAACCAGAGATCACCAAACCTTAAAGATATGAAAACATTCCATTCATCCGCATCCATCGAGGCCCGAAAGTGTGCAGAGCACATCACGCCTCCTTCCACCTACACCTCACACAACCCTACAAGGTGGGTACTCTCGCTCTCCACATTTACAGATGGGGAAACTGAGGCTGGGTGAAGACAATCGGCCCACGGCCCACACTACCGGCTGTGAAGCAAGGACTCAAACCCAAGTCTGTGTGACCCTAGGCCCCTCACCACGAGCTGTGACGGCCCCTCCAGCCTCAAAGAGTCTTCAGGCCTGGCCTCCAGCCAAGGCGAGGCCTCCGCGGGCAGAGACATAGTCTGCAGCTGCTCTGCTCCTTCTCCAGGGGACCGTCCCTCATGGGCGCTCCACACTCGCCACCCCCCGGGACTGTGCAGTGCACACTGCGACCCGCGCTCACGGGATAAACGCCGACTCCGAAGCCGGCCCAGAAGCAGCACAAGCACAGGCTTGATTTGATCAAACCTTTACTGTCTCATTTTGTAACCTTACGGCTTGCTCTTGCGTCTGGAGACCAGACAGGTCCCACTTATGGTGACACAGCAAAAGGCACTGGGCTTCACGTTGGGGAGTCTGGACTCTAACTGGTACCAACTGATGAGAATAATGATTACCAACAACAACAGCAAAATGCCCTTTGGTACCTGCGTTGGGGCTTCGGGTTATTTCTTACTCAGCCCTCCAGTGTCCTTGTAGAAAAATGCTATTATTATTGACTCGATTTTGCACGTGAAGAAACTGAGGCCGAGGAAGGCCCAGGACTTGCTCAAAGTCCCACGGCTGGGAAGTGAGGTTCGGAGTCTGACCCAGAGGCCACGCTCCTAACCGCTCTGCTACACGGCCCCCTCACACGGTCCCCAGGGGCTCCTGCCTATCCCACACACCTGTCCTGGGCCATAACGAAGCACCTGTGGGAACACTAAAAAAAAACCCCAACTAGAATTTGCAATCGCCTCACGAAAATGAACTGATGTGCGCCAAGACCAAGGAGTGTCTGCTTCGTTACTGGTCGATTCCCTCGACAAGAAACTGTTTACAAGGCCGGCCCAAAGTCCGAGACGGCTGGGATGTTTTACGTGAAATATCGCTTAAAATAACTTGTTGATCGACTAAGCCTTTAATCGCTTTCCTGACTCACAAGGAACTCTGCTGTGATACCATTTATTGACCACCATTCAGCTCTATGAAAACGGCTGAAATTACCTAATTTAAAAAGCAACGCAGTTCCGTTTTCTTGGTTTAGTTAACGCTAACGGGCGCACGGGTGTACAGCGAAGCGCATGCGCTGAGGCCGGCTTGCCTGCTGCCACACCCCAGGAGGGTGAAGGATGGTCAGGGTGCCCCGGTGCCCTCCTTCACCTCTGCGGCCTCAGTTTCCCCATCTACAGAGTGGGACAGTGACATCCACCTTCCAGGGTTGCTGCAAGGTTAAACGGGATGGAGCACGTGAAGGGCTCAGCACAGTCCCGGGCCCAGGACACACACGGAGGCGATCATTTGATCATTTCCTCTTTTTCTCAGACCGGTTTCTTTACGTGCTCTCTGGAAGAGAACTTAAGTCAGGATCCGTCAGACGGAGTCCCTGCCGCAGGGAGAACGTCGACCCAAAGACACGTGCTAATGGATAAAGAAACGCTTAAGCTTGCTCTCTTTGGCTCTGATTTTCCAATCTATCCTCAGGCATATAAAAACAAATGTAAAACATTCAAATAATATTTCACAGACAAAATTACGTATAGCGACATCGCTCACACATGCACGCACACACATGCATGCATGCACACACACGCTCGCCCACACACACACGTGACATGCTGAGTAGCATGTTGGGCTGGGTGGGGAAATGACCACAAGCAGGAAAAAGCCTCGGACAGGAGGCAGGAGAGGGTGCTCGGGGCTGTGAGCAACCGCTCCGGTGCCCCGCAGGAACCGCACAGGGAATAAAAATTCTTCTTAATGATCTCGACTTTACTCTTCCCCTGTGTATAGCACACATTCAAAATGGGTGCGCTAAGCGTGTCTGAAAAGACACACAGAGATACTTATTTTTCATGCTCTCTTGGGTGGACGGTCTAGTCAGCTGTCCTTGGTGATCGTCTGGAGAGGGACCACCACGGGTGAGCCAGTACCACTGCATCCAATGCTTTCTGGCCTTGGATGAGACCTCCATTCTGGGAAGCCTGCTGCCGCCTGGCAGGCCTCCAGGATGGACTGTAGCCCGTTAACTGAATGAGACCAGCAAACACGCCCAGGAGCGAAGAAAAGAAAACACACAACCAGATTTGGCCTCGCCTAACGCTCGTGGTCCTCAGATACACGTGTTACTTGATGACAAACAACTGCCCTGTAACAGGGCCCCCACTACCCAGACCGGAGGCGGGTCGTGTCTGCCAGCAGCGGGCACAGCGAATAACCAAACTCACCTGCTTTCCCCACTGCTTCCCCGGAAAACAATCATCCCTTGTCAGAACAGACAAAATATCTTCCATCTTAATCTCGGAAACACTGTAAAAGGAAACGCAGAGCAAGGTCAACTTTTCATTCTTTTCAAAAATATCCAGGCTCTTGATACATAAAACTGGCCTATTCTCAAGCAAGATCTAAAGCAGAAGCTACACTTTCACAGGAGAGGGACTATTCTCTAAACCTCTAGCAATGTGGAAGGAAGGGGACCTTTCTGATATTACAGGGACAGATGGGGTAAGAGTCCCGATGACCTCCTTTCTCCCTGATGCATTTTAAATGGGCTACACTCCTAATTTCCTTTATAGGGCCCACATCCTTATTTCTTAATAAATCTCTGCTAGTAAATAAGTAAGCCTAGTAATGGATACATTACCTTGACTTGAGCAGAAGATGATAAAATAAGCATTTCAGATAGTCCCTTCTGGTTTATACTTTAAAAAAAAACAAGAAAGGCGCTGAAGATCCCTGACTGATGGGGCAAACGCCGGTGACGGCTGCCACGCGGCCGGCGCCTGCGGCCTGCAGTGCGCCAGCTCTGTAGCAACGGACCCCGAAGGCCTCCCCCGCGCGTGCCTCTCCACCGTGAAGCGGTGAGGGCGAAGCATTCCGATGGACCTAGAACTGTGTGCTGACGGCTGAAAGCAGAATTCGGGCTTCAGTCACGACCAGAAGCCGTCAGGAGCCAGCACGGAACCCGCCCACCTGCCCGGCGGTGGACTCCACGAAGCTGGCAGCTCACGGCTGCACGCGAAGGTGGAAGCGCCGGACCACGTGTCAGAGACCAAGGGAACAGGAGAGGCTGAAAACACACTTCCG